GATGGTGTTTAACACTGAAAAATGCAAGGTTCTCCACCTTGGGAGGAAAAACCTGCAGCATCCTTATAGGCTCGGCAGTGCTACGCTGGCTAGTACTACGGAAGAAAGAGACTTGGGGGTCATCATTGACCACAAGATGAACATGAGCCTGAAATGCAATGCTGCAGCTAGTAAAACGAGCAAAATGCTGGCTGGCATCCATAGATGCTACTCAAGCAAATCCCAGGACATCATTCTCCCGTTGTACTCAGCCTTGGTGAGGCCGCAGCTGGAGTACTGCGTCCAGTTTTGGGCTCCACAATTCAAAAAGGATGTGGAGAAGCTTGAGAGAGTCCAGAGAAGAGCCACGTGCATGATCAGAGGTCAGGCAAACAGACCTTACAACGACAGGCTGAGAGCCATGGGGCTCTTTAGCCTGGAAAAGCACAGGCTCAGGGGTGACCACCAGTACCTCGGGGAACGTTTGTTCACCAGAGCATCCCAGGGGATGATGAGGTCAAACAGTCATAAACTACTGCAAGACTGTTTCAGGCTGGACATAAGGAAGAATTTCTTTACTGTCCAAGCCCCCAAAGTCTGGAACAGCCTGCCATCGGAGGTGGTTCAAGCACCTACATTGAACACCTTCAAGAGTAAATTGGATGCTTATCTTGCTGGGATCCTATGACCCCAGCTGAATTCCTGCCCTTTGGACAGGGGCTGGACTCGATCTTCCGAGGTCCCTTCCAGCTGTAATGCCTATGAAATCTATGAAGTATTTTGGACAAGGAAAAGTTAGCACTTCTGTGTTGAAACACTGAATTGTGAGTGCGGGGAGTGCACCTGAAAGAGCCATCTTGAAGCATAGTATTCTCTGTGATTAAAAAACAAACATGTAATGATCTCTAAATATCAAATACTCACTTGTATGGAAAAGTCAATGCCTTGGGGTTCCTTAATGCTGGACTGCTCAAAGTTATAGCATATGTGTGTAAAACACCTTCGGTCCAATTTATTTCTAAATTTAGAATTTTAGTTGTCTGATTCTTTTCCTCTTAGTTCTACAAAAAACACTTGATCCCGGTTTGTTTGTTTTTTTCTTTTATATAGCCAATTCCACT